TAATAATAGTAAAGTTGGAAGGGACCTTGAAGGTCATCTAGTCCAACCCCCTGCTCAGGCAGGAAACCCTATACCATTTCGGACAAATGGCTGTCCAGTCTCTTCTTAAAAACCTCCAGTGTTGGAGCATTCACCGCTTCTGGAGGCAGGTTGTTCCACTGGTTAATTGTTCTAACTGTCAGGAAGTTTCTCCTTAGTTGCTTCTCTCCTTGGTTAGTTTCCATTAGAATACATTGTAGATCAGTTAAAGATTAAAGTATTTGCAGAATAATTCATCTAGCAAGATCGGTTTTTTTGAGGTGTGTACAAAGGTGCAAACAGCTTCTGACTATTAATATTCCACTACTGAGATCAGCAGACAGTGTAAACTTTTCTTGTAAGCATTTGACTTCTGATATGCAGCCTGTTTAGTTGGACAGCAATCCTAAAAGTGGAAAGGAAAGGACATGTGTAATTTTCCTATGGCTTTAAAGGGAAGGATTAATTAATGGGGTCTCTTTAACTTTACTGAACAATGGGAGCCTTGATTTTGCGCTTAAGAATTACTATGTACTAAGAGCTCCAGCTGTTTTTTTCACTTATGGTCAAAAAGTCCATAATAAAAGTGTGCCACCTTAGAAAATGTTTGGTTGTGGGAAAAGAGCAGATAGTGCTATATATTTATTTCCATATACAGCATTGGCAGGAAGAATTACCTGCATACACAGAGATTCAGAGAAGGAACAAAAAATGCATAATAAGCTACTGGATAACTTATTTACTGTACATTCCCAAGAAAGTCAGGATTAGTACTTAGGATATCCTACTAGCTATGGTTGGCCATCAGTGTTTCGGAGTGCTAAAGCCCATAAGACTGAATTATGATTTAGAACTTATACACGTTTGTGTATGATAAAATCTTGGCTGCCTTTTTTAAGGAAGGAACTTGTTGGGGATGAGCAGTTAGCAAGAGAATTAAATGCCACAAAACCTCAAAGGGAAATCAATGTGCTTCCTGTCACCTTCCCTCCCCTTTTCCTGCATATGGCCAATTTTTAGTCATGTGATATAGACATCCCAAAAGCATGAAGTTGCTTCCTGTGTTATGTTTTCAGTATTCTGGTTCACCTTAGCTTTAGCAGCTGGTTTTTGCGTCAGTCATTGTATATTTGTGTACATTTCAGAGTAATGACTCTTTACTAAAGGACCTTTACAAGCAAGATCTCTACTGAAAAAAGGAAACTGACCCAATTTGCCATACAATGGGCACGTCAAACGAAGAGATGGTCTCAACGGAACAGAACCTGAACCCACTCTGCTTTGAATGTGGCCAGCAGCACTGGACAAGAGAGAATCACTTGTACAATTATCAGAACGAGGTGGACGATGATTTGGTTTGCCATATTTGCCTTCAGCCCTTGCTACAGCCATTAGACACGCCTTGTGGTCACACATTCTGCTATAAGTGCCTACGAAACTTTTTGCAAGAGAAGGATTTCTGTCCCTTAGATCGCAAAAGGCTCCATTTTAAATTGTGCAAAAAATCTAGCATCCTTGTTCACAAACTGCTTGACAAGCTCTTGGTGCTGTGTCCCTTTACTTCAGTGTGCGAAGAGGTAATGCAGAGATGTGACCTGGAAGCACACCTGAAAAACAGGTAAATAGTGAGAGAATGCGCCTGATCAACTTTATTATTATAATTATCGTCTATGCTACTTGCCTGCCTGCCTGCCTGCATATATTTGTTTCCTTCCCATTCTGTCTCCTCTTTGGAGGTTATTTAAAGGTGATGATAAATGAATAGCGGTAGATCAGCCTTGTGCTTCTTAATAAAGCAAAATGAAAGGAGGGTGAAACTATCTCTGGGACTGTTGATATTTTACAGCTTTCTAGCTCTATGTATGCATTTTGTTTGGGTGAATAATCATGTGATAAGGAAGAATCTTTCTCTCTCCCTTCTGATTGTCTGAAATGTAGACATAGAAAAGATTCTCTAACAGAATTGTCCCTCCAAAATGTGGTTAACAGGGAGAATAATGGAGCTAGACTACTTGAATTTGCTCTCCTATCTTTTAAACAATCAATGGAGCACATCAATTAATTAAATTAAATTATTCTCATTTTTCTTTCTCTTTTGACCCTTTCCTGTCAAAGATAAGTAAAATCCTATTTTTCTGGAGTAAAAATCAGTGACAGTATCATGCTCTGGATTGCCAAGTAATAAACAGAAGGTGGCCCACACAAAGAGAGATCTCTGCTCTACAAGCTGTTTGTAGATCATGAAAAAAAATTCTCATGGGGCTCAAGGGATGGTTAAAGATAATGTGAAATATGAAATAGGCCTTTGGGAGGTTCAGGAAAAATTGAATAATTGCTCGTAGCTGCTTGGAGCTACTACTATAGCATCTATCTGATCAAACTGCTATCCAGTATTAATTGTCCTCTTCCTAGAAAACCTCCTTTCCTAACTTTTGGCTCTTCATTGCCTCCCAGCCCAACTTAGTACATAATTGTAGCAGAAAAAAAATGGAGGAACAGATGCTGTGCTTGAAAGTTTTGATTACTACAAAGAAAGGCAGAATTATAAATCTAAAAGATAAAAAAGGTAGACATTTTGCTTGGCAAATTAGTCAGGTGTGGACTGGGACTTTAGCATCTTTACTTCTGGATGGGGTACAGTACCCCAGACAGACCTGATCCATAACTTGGGGGTTCTCCTGGACTCGTGACCCCTGTTCAAAGAGCAGGTGGCAGTTACGGTTAGGAGAACCTTTGCACAACTGCAAGTTGCAGCCTTTCCTGGATCAAGAGTCCCTGACCCTCTCAGGTCACACAAGCCCTAATCATCTCGTGTCTAATGTCTTTTGGAATGTGCTCTACCCTTGAAGAACAGCTGGAAGCCTATAATGGCACAGAATGCAGCAGTGCAAGCAGTTCTTAGAGCCCGCTACACTGGCCCATGTTATACCACTGCTTCGAAAGCTGCACTGCTTACTGATCTGCTTCCAGGTGCAATTCAAGGTTAAAGCCCTGCATGGCATGGGTCCAATCTACTTGAGGAACCATCTCATCCCGATGGGACTGACCCACTCCACCTGCACCAGTAGAGGGAGCGTATTGTGGATCCTGTCAGCCAAGTAATGTCAACTGGCAAGATCCAGAAGAAGAGCCTTCTCTGCTATGCCTAACCCTAACCCTAGCCCTCTGGAGCGTTTACCCCCTGAGGTGAGATTGGTCTCCTGAGATTTCATAAGAGCCTTAAGAACTGGCTCTGCCAGATGGCTTGAGCACCCAATGGGGGAGCTTCACACCAGAGATGTCAGGGAGGTGGGATTAGATTTTAGTCAATTTAGTCAATTACTCCCTTCTTTGCCATCTTGTCTCGGTGATTGTATCCGTTGATGTTTTTATCTGCTGTGTTTTTTACAGTGGATGGTTTTAATGTTTTTCAATGTTTTTTATGCTGTAAGCCAGACATGTCAAACACAAGGCCCGGGGGCCGGATGCGGCCCGCAAAGTGGTTGTGAAAGCCATCCTGGAAACAGTGAGGGAACGGCCCCCTCTACCTTGGCCCTGGCCCAAGCCAGCCGGGAGCCAATGTACAATTTTGTGGTGGCCATATATGCTGAAACGCCTTCAGTCTTAGCTCCATAAGGCCCCCTGCTGCATGGCCTGAGAGGAACAGTGAGGCTCCTCCAGTGGACCATGCCTTGGCACTTGCCCTGGTCCCACCCCCTTCTGCCAGAGACCCTCAGATCTGTCCCACTCCTGGCCAGGCCCCCACAGGCGCCCTTGACACGAACGATGCAGAGCTGGCCATACCCACTCAGTAGGCCACACCCACTCCATCCACGCCCACCCAGTAGACTGCACCCACCTTGGCCACACCCACTCGGCCCCCTGAGGGCAACCACAATGCTTATGCGGCCCTCAATGAAATTGAGTTTGACACTCCTGCTGTAAGCGGTCCAGTGTTGTTGGATACAAGAAATGGTGGCAAGTAAATTTTATTAATAAGTGGACTGGTTATGCGTAACTCTAATAAATGACAAATTGATTATACAATTTCAGCTTTGAAGGAACAATCCCCAACTGCCCATTTGAGGTCCCCACTGAACACTGATAAGTTTAATAATCTGTGATATATTAATATCACAGATAATATAGTAAAACCTTTGGGTGTCAAGACAGCCAACCATATCCACAGCAAAGTGTAATTGTTGTTCGCCACAGATCTCACTAATTCAACTTTGGACAGCTAAAGGACTTCAAACATATAAGTATAATGTATATAAAATTAAAAAAAATCCTGTTCCAAATCAGCCAACATTCCCAAGCACATCATTCACTAATAGCATGGACTTGATTACTCTCCAGACCCCTGTGCCTGGGAAAACACCCAGATCTGAAAGGCAAGCAGTGTCAGGGCCAGCTGAACGTCAGGTGTAGGGTGTTCCAGAGGGCAGGTGCAGTTACAGAAAAGGCATGCTTCTTGGTTCCATTAACTCCATAATACATAAAATCTGGAGTATGTCCTCTCCTGCCCAACCTAATGTGATGGGTAGAAATTATGCTGAAATAATGACAGGCGCATAATGATGTTGTTGAGCAAATGGAACCATTATGTATTTTTGTTCCGACATCTGATGCAAAACATAGGTTTGGACATTTCTGTGACGATGTCACAAATGGCATTTTGTTCCAGGCAGCTATGAAATCAGCTAAATACTGTATGTTTTTATTGCTTTCAGGACTTCATTTCTTCGAAGTGTGAGGCCAAAGATTTCTTCTTTTGTAATATGTTAGTTCCTTGACTTACAGAAAATGAAAACAAAACAAAATCTACAGCTGGCCAGAATAGTCAAAAAAAGCATGTACTGTACATATGATCCTTCCCTTCCCTTCTTCATCTCTGTTATACCAGAATTCCTATGAAGGTTACTCACCTTTTTTGAACTTAAGACCAAGATCATTTTTCTGAAGTTTGTAGACTTTTGTTTTTCCTTTCTTTTTTAAAAAAACAACAACAAATCATGGCAATAAGAAAGTGTGCTGAAAGTACTAATCATTCTTAGTAATAAATACTGGTGGACCACCAGCAATCATTTCATATAGGAATCACCAAAGAAGAGAATATTTATAGCTCAGGGTTGAACTGTAGAGGTCTTGTGCTTTCTGAGCTTTATTGTTTATAGAGGTTTCATTACCCAACTAGGTAACATCATCACTTTACAATGCCTTGGTAAGGCCACACTTGGAATACTGCATCCAGTTTTGGTCACCACGATGTAAAAAAGATGGTGAGACTCTAGAAAGAGTACAGAGAAGAGCAACAAAGATAATTAGGGGACTGGAGGCTAAAACATATGAGGAACGGTTGCTGGAATTGGGTATGTCTAGTCTAATGAAGAGAAGGACGAGGGGGGACAGGATAGCAGTGTTCCAATATTTCAGGGGCTGCCACAAAGAAGAGGGAGTCAAGCTATTCTCCAAGGTGTCTGAAGGCAGGACAAGAAGCAATGGATGGAAACTAATCAAGGAGAGAAGCAACCTAGAACTAAGGAGAAACTTCCTGACAGTTAGAACAATTAACCAGTGGAACAACCTGCCTCCAGAAGCGGTGAATGCTCCAACACTGGAAGTTTTTAAGAAGAGACTGGACAGCCATTTGTCCGAAATGGTATAGGGTTTCCTGCCNATCATCATCATCATCATCATCATCATCATCAGTGTGATTGAGTGTGAGATTTGCACCCTGTTAATATGCAGTAGCTTGCCCTGCCAGTTTTGGATGTGGTTTTCTCCTTGATAGTTCCTTGATTAGGGCATTGTTTTCTGTGTTTAACAGTAACAGGGAACAAAGCTTACACTCACTCACACTGATGATACTATCAAGTTGGGTAATGAAACCCCTGTAAACAAACAACAAAGCTCAGAGAGCACCAAGCGCTCAACTGAAGTTCCAAAGTCTGGAACTTCTATAAAAAATGTATATGTGAAGAAATTTGGAAGATCTGAATCCAAAGGACCTTCGTGGCATTGGCTAGTTCTCTGTACAATATCAATATTGTAGCAACAAGCCTTCCTGTTATATCCAGATTTTTAAAAATTATAGCTCCCATCATTTCCACTCAGCACAATCAATAGTCAGAGGTGATCAAGCGGCATCCTATGGGGGTGTGTATATTACATTACTTTATATAACTAAAGATAGTTATTTTTTTTTCAAGCCTCTGTTCCCTGTTTTTATGATAATATAGAAGCATTTCTTCCCTAGGTGTGCTGGGGCTTCAAATCGAAGGGCTGCCTTGGAAAGAAGGATAAACAGCAAATTGCAGGCAGCCACCGAAAGTGAAAATGAAAACGCCATGATAGATCATCTGGACTCCCAGTCACCTGAAGCAGAGCATGCTGGGACTGGAATGGCGTCAATGGAGCAGAACATGACATCAGCGACAGTTTCGGTGTGGACAGATGAGTCTGGGCTTGATAACCCTGCTTTTGAGGAGAACATAGGAACTGAGAGTGAGTTTAGTTTTCTTTTTAGTATTCGGTTTGATCAGTGCACTTTAAAATGTAAACTTTAAGAAATCTTAAAATCAGATTTTATCCTGGCCTGCAAGCAAATAACCTGTTTTCCTAGTGTATGTATGTATATGTACATGTAAGTAACTTACATGCTACCCATCTCACCTAGAGGCGACTCTAGGCAGCTTACAATCAATATAAACAGCAAGGTAGAACATTAAAACAACCAAAACAGTATTCTATAAACTTTGTTTATAGAAACCTTGAGAATTAATTAGAGCTACATAGAACGAATGCTTCTGTTAACAATAACCAGGAGGGCTTTTTTTAAAAGTCCTATTTAGCCTCAGCTTTCTTGTTACAGTCAGTTGAATGATTGTGACAACAGCCGAGCATTAATTTTTAATCTGCAAAACTTGGGAGGTACAATTTGCTCAGAATCAGAATCTGGAGAGCTCCATGCCTATGTTGGCATTTATACCAATATTTTATAAAACAAAAGGCATTTACACCAGTGACATGCTGCATATGCACAACATCAGTTTTAACCTATTGTGTTGTTTATACATTCATATGAACGGCTCTGATATCATTTTAGTGGGTGGCTATTTCAATTTTAAATTTGTCTAAACCAAATAATATGAATTTTCATTTGGCTTTCACATGCATCATTTTGTGAAACCATTTCCTAAAACTCCATCATGATTCTCCCACATAACCTTATGAAACCGTACAAAACTTATTTTCCAAAAATCCAATGAAGTGGCTCCATTATTGCTGTTAACATTTTGTCTTTCTGTGCCTAATGACTTTTTAAAACGTTTTAATTGTGACTCCTTTTTTATATATATGTTTGCTCTTTTATATCCTTGTTCGTATGCCTCCCAGGCCTTTGTGTGATGGGCAGCCATATAAATTTGATACACAAATAAATAAATAAAAATTGGAGATTCTTGTTCTCCAGCACAAACTGCTGAATGGCAGTCTGATAATTACTGGATTGCCTCTGGCTAGCCATGTAGCTATTGCAGGTCTGTTTTGGACTTTAGCAGCCCTGTTAGAAGCCCCTTTCAGGTGTCCCCACATTAGCCACTTACTATCAATTTGAGTTTGATTAAAAAGTCATGCAAGCTTGGTTTTAATTGGTTTGACTTATGACATAACAGATTTTATTTTATTTTATTATTTTAATCTAGCAGCATGTTGCATTGAAAAATATATTTCTTTGTACATATTGACTTCTTTCCCAATTGGGCAGCAATCCATCAGCCATCAAGTTTACCGGAAGGTGAGATCACCACCATTGAAATTCATCGGTCCAATCCTTACATTGAATTAGGAATTAGCATAGTGGGTGGCAATGAAACACCTTTGATCAACATTGTTATTCAAGAGGTTTATCGTGACGGGATCATTGCCAGAGATGGAAGGCTCCTTGCTGGAGATCAAATACTGCAGGTATATATCTGATTATATATTCTTCTCAACTCTGGTGTGTCTAGATTGTGCAGCTATATATTAGATGATGAGTAAGCAAGAAAGATTAACGATTTCCTGGCACAATTTTGGAATTTTCTCTTTGGCATAAAAGTTAATGTAGAAGTTTATGGCCAGAATGTGCCATAACTCAAGCAAAGAAAATAAGCTTTTTCAGTAGCTCTATTCTTGATTTAACAGAATTTTATTTTTCTTATACCCTGGAGTTCATCTTTAATATGTTTCAACAAAAAAAAATAAGGAAATCAGGATGATTGTTTATTCCTTCTTTTGTGAGTGATATGAAATACTTCCATTACTTGTAGAACTCTGTATAATACATTGGAAATTATAGCAATGTCATTTTTAGTGGTCCAGTATGAATTACAGTTGTTGATTTCTAAAGCTCTCTGCTTCCAACCCCCAGTGTACAAATCATATTTCATGTCTTCCTTTTTCATAAAAATGCTAAGAGATTAAGATGAAATTAAAATCTGAGTTTTGAGCTGCCTTTGTGTGTGTTCATGCCTTCGCAGATTAGAACTAGGTTTTGCATTGTATATGTGAAAGAGGGGCCATGCAGGATGGAAAATCTTATTGGAGTTTTAGGAAATCAATTATGGAACTTTACAGTTATCAGTTCCTCAGGTTGATAACCTATTGGAAGGATGAATTCAAGCCCAGTCTTGCCTCCCCCGACAAATTCCTTTCTGTACTGTTTCTTCTTTTTCCTTCCCCAGAGAATTTGTCTTAAGCACAATAAGGGCAAAGGCAATTTTTACAGGCTGAAAAGAAGGCCACAGCAATTGTCATTCTGAATGCCACCATTGCACAGGGCATTTCCTCCCACCAAACTGATAGATATTGTGTCAGGGCTGGTTGCATGTCTGCTGCTTCTCTTGGCCTTTTGCCTGCTTTGAATTTGGGCAGTGATCCCCAGACTGAGGTTTTTTTAAAGGGGACTAGACAGGATCATGGAAGATAAGACATCAGTGATGCTGAACTGTAGGCTGCACACTCTAAATCAGGGGTAGTCAACCTTGGCTCTTTTATGACTCGTGGACTTCAACTCCCAGAATTCCTGAGCCAGAATTCCTGTCGCTTGCAAGACAGCCGTGAGGTTGTACACTTGTAACAAATATTGGCAATTCCCCACTTTTGCTGCCTCGACCTCCTGCTACTGTCATGCCAAGGGACTCGTGGGGCTCCTTCTTCACTGTGATGTGCTTCTCTTGACAAGTCACACATTGTGAGAGGTCCTACAAAAAAGAATAAGAGTTTAGGCATACATTTCACTTGGGTTAAATCTGAAGGAGGGGAGTCAAATTATCTGCACATACAGATGCCCATGTGGAACAAATAATCATGTAGACCAGGGGTAGTCAACCTTGGCTCTTTTATGACTCGTGGACTTCAATTCCCAGAATTCCTGAGCCAGCTAAGCTGGCTCAGGAATTCTGGGACTTGAAGTCCACGAGTCATAAAAGAGCCAAGGTTGACTACCCCTGCTCTAAATATTGGTTGTTGGAAAGCAGCAGTGAAAAGGGACATCACCCTCCAGTCTAGTCTTGTGAGCTTCCCAAATATATGTAGTTGGTACCAACAGAAGAGAAGTTGGCCAGTTGGCCATTGTGTGACACAGAGTATTTGTCTTGGTATGATTACAGCCTGATCCATCTGGACTTTCCTTATATTCTTATGTCTTTGAATTTATTCAAAGATAGCAATCCTTTTAAGAATTCAAATACTCAAAAATAATGGATAGCTTGAGAGAGATGAATAATAGGATGTTTATGTTTTCCTGTTGAATGTTGTCTAAGGTGCCTACTTGGAATAGGAAAAGAATTAGGGTGTCACCCAAGTGCATCATTCAGTTTCAGGTGTGTATCCAAGGTATATATTCTGGGTTGATGAGAATGCTTGAGTGTGAGAAGTAGTATACAAATACAACATTGGAAAATATATTGGACTGCACTTTCTGCTTGCTGAATTTACCTTAACTTTCATAAAATCATTCCAGAACCATCCTTGAAGTCAATATTTGTGCATAGGTTTAGCCTAGAATAGCTAATCAGAGCCTGAAAACAAGAGCTATAAGGCAAGAAAGAATTCCAAAGTTGCTTTCTAAAGACTCACTTGGACTTCCTGAATATATCTTCTTTCCATGTTTATTGTGACTCACAAATGAAGACCAACATACATATCTCAGGATAATGTTGCAGGATCCAATCTGTGTTGGCCACCAGGACCAGAGCTTTACTCTTCCGAGCTTTTGGACTTGTCCTGGAGCCCATCCTCTGGGAATTTCTCTCTAGCAAAATGGATGCTTTGGGCTATTCTATATGTATTCTTCCTCTTGTGACTCTTGAATTCCCTTTCTCTCTGTTATGTTATGCAAATATTACCAATATGAATGAGCTATCATTATTTTGCTTTGGTAAATTCTGTTCCTTCATTTCTCTTTGAAGTTTAAATAAAAATTCATAAATATGCAATTGAAAAGGATTTTGCAGAATTTCCTCCAAATTTCAGCTATCTGAGAATATGCTCTCTACTGGCAGGAAAAGTGAGAAATGGAGACTCTGTCACAAAGTTTAAATAACAAGCCTTGGGAATACTGAAGCGCATTGTGGGTTAAAAGAGAGAAAAATAGATTAAAAGGAAAAGAAGTAGAATATATTTTTTACACCTTTACTAATACTCAAGAATGTGGCAAATAACTATTTCACACAGAATGTGAAAAGGAAACAGTTGTTTGAGTCTCAGTGATTATTCTAATCATAAGGTGTTAACACATTTAGCAGTTTAGATTTTGGATTGGTCTTTTTCATCCTATTAAGTGATACTACACCTTCCTTCTTTCTGCTGTTTCAGGCTTTTTCCTTCAGGGTTCTTCTTTATTTTCCTTCCTCATCATGTAGCACAAGCTCCCCCCGGTCTGATGTAACTGGGGAATCGTAGTGCAATATCTCTGGAAGGCGTAAAGTTGAGGAAGGCTGATAAGGATAGAATAATACATTATACAGAGTGTACCATTAACTCTAGGCATCATTCCTGGCTATCATTAATGGCAAAAGCAGACTAATATAGGTAAATATGAAGATGTTTTCAAAAGATCTACCTAAGTGCAAAAGGAAAAAAATCCCCAAAGGTTATTCTTGAAATTGCCAAGAATATTTGTGAAAAATGTTCAGTACATTTGGCTCCAATTTTACAAAGTGTGAATTCTGTATATTAATAGCTTACTCATTCTCTGAAAGCTTCACCTTGTGCACCCAGAACAGCACCTTTCAGGCAGAAAAAATAGTAGGAAAACTTCCAGCAATGCAAAATACTTGACCTAAATGTAGTCATGCTGATTATTGTAGGAACAGACAGAGAAGCTAGGAAATGGGAACCAAAAAGGGTATAGAAATACATGGCATCTCCTGGAAACAGATGCCCATCTGGAACATTGAATAGGGGCAAATTGTCACAGGTCCGACATATATTTTCTGCTTCTTTTCTTTCAGGTGAATAACTTTGACATCAGCAACGTGTCTCACAACCATGCCAGGGCCATCCTTTCCCAGCCCTGTACATCGCTGCATCTCACAGTCCTCCGAGAGAGACGATTTGTAAGCCGAACTCACAATCACAGTGATAGCCCTCCCCAGCGAGACGATAGCTTCCATCTGACCTTGCACAAGCGAGACTCCAGTGAACAGCTTGGCATTAAGCTGGTGCGCAGGACCGATGAGCCAGGAGTATTTATTCTTGACCTCCTGGAAGGGGGGTTGGCTGCTCAGGATGGCCGACTCTGTAGCAATGACAAGGTGTTGGCTATCAATGGGCATGACCTGAAGCATGGCACACCTGAACTGGCTGCTCATATTATCCAGGTAAAGTCCTGTGGCGGAGGATTCACTCCCTTTTGTGTACTGTGCTTTTCCCAAGCTGGACCATGATAGTTGGGAAAGGTGGGGTTTCTTGCCTTAATATACCTGTAAGTTGTCAGATTAAGGAAGACCAGCCTTCTAAAAAAACATGGATGTTGATGCCCTAAGTTGCACTCCAGTGAAACCTTACTAACAGACGCATAAATAGATGAACACTCTATACTGAATGATTATTAGAGAGATCTCCCCTACAAAGAATAAATAAGGTGGTGTAGCATTGCAGATTCAGGGGGGAGAAGATGTGTCAGAAGGCATATGGCATGTAGCACCTGCCAGCAACTCCTTAAAGTTGTGTTTTCCCAACTTTATTAACTATATAGCACTGTTTTCTAAGACCTTTCCCCCCCCTTTTCCCCCCACAGGGTAAAGTTGAGAAGCTTCTGTGGGCCACTTGAGACTAGTCATGAAACAATACCCTGGCATCCCCTTGGCTTCTTCTGCTCCGCCATTGGGGTTTAGATTCAATGGACGAGTAAATGTTACTTGATACGTTTTTCCTTTTCTCACTAATTTTACTTCTGGGATAGCAACCAGCAAGAGCTCTGTTTGAGCACCCAGAGCTGAGGATAGTGAAATCAGGTATTGGCAAAGTGACTGATCTAATCCTCTGCCGTACCAGAAGATGGATTGTTTTATTATGTGGCGAAAATAGAGTCTGACCAGTATTAGGTCCTCAGGGAAAGTGTTGATTTCCTTCATATGTACAATGTAGTCTTCATGGCTGCTTTTTGATTAGAAATCAGGTAGTCCTCGACTTATGTCCATAACCGGCCCCAGAATTTCCATCGTAAATTATGATGTCATAAGTTGAGGCACCCACATGGCTGCACAAAGTTTTATGAGTTTTTTTGCAGCAGCAGTTGTTAAGTGAATGCTACAGTCGTTTAGTGAATCTGTGTACTTCTATGGGCATGTTTTGCCGGAAACCAAACAAAAACCCCCAGAAACCAGCAAAAAACATTGTGAATCATGGTCACATGACTGAGGAGTGCTGAACTGGCCATAAAGGTGAGCTGGTTGCCAAGCGCCTGAAATGCAGTCACGTGACCATGGTATGTGTGTGTGCGCGTGCGTATGCGTGCAGCTGATGGAATTCCAGAACTGGTCCTAAATGGCTTTTGGTGGGTTTGTTGTAACTTCAAACAGTAGCTAAGCTTAACAAAGACTGCCTGTATTTTGACTATTCTTTGCTCTCAGAGGTAACCAGTATTTATGCCCCAATCCTCTATTCATGTTTCATGTGAATCCGCAGGCCAGTGGCGAAAGGGTGAACCTAACCATTTCAAGGCCTACAAAGTCCCAAATTGTAAGCATTCTCAGAGATGGGGGAACACATCTCACCAGCCATCATCAATCCTATCAACTGTATCACAGCAACAGGCCAAGCCCACATAAAGTAAGTTTGGGAATGGACAAGTTATTATTTAAATTTATATTCTAATATAAATTTACCTCTGCATTTCCTAAAAACAAATAAATGAATTGAAATGTGTTCAGTGCATGTCAGTGTTTATATTTTTACAGAATTCTTAATACAGGTTTCCAGTTAACTAGATACTGAAATCCATAGGGGGGGGGGGGAATATCCATACAAAATTTAATGTATGAATGAAAATAATATATAAAAAGTAATGTATTAGGGAACTAGGTTTTTTTTTTTAAAAATGCAGGTATTAAGCAAACCAATATATAAAATAGGTATACTAAAGGGAAATGTATACTAGGACATGGAAAAATTTTTATGTGTACTCTTTTTAAGAAATTGAAAACTAAAATGGAACGAACCCAAAATTGGGAAATTAAGAAAAAAAATGAAAAAACAAGAGTTACCCGTTACCTCTATAGTGTTGATTGCTGTTAAGATTAAACATATTGTATGGTTGGATGTCTAGGAAGTTGGAAAAATGCACCCTCTACTGGATAGCATAGCTATTCCCACAGTCATCTGTTAATCTTTATGATTAAAAATATTCTCCTCTAAAAAAGGACAGGCACTTAAAATATCCCAGCAGAACAAAAAGGAATGTGCCACCTCCCATTACATAATTTCTCAACTTGAAAATGTACATTCAGATCCAAAAGGATATGAGCTTAAGTACTACTGTACCTCCAAATATACACACATATTCTCCCTCCCCAAAATTGGATATATTGTATTGTTATGCAATCCAAACAGCAAAAAAAAAAGGATTTTTAGATCCTAGAGATTGATTAGGGAGAATACCAATATTTTGTATTTGTAAGAAGATTTGTGGATGGGCATTTAAGTCTTTGGGGGAAAAATGACTGTCTTTTAAATAGTTATGTGAGGCTTTTAATGAAAGATCTGTCAGTATCACTGTGGCAGTAGTTTACTTGTAAAATGTTTTTAAAGAAATCATTTGCATTGATATACTCAACTTTAATAACAGTTGTGTGGTGAACAACTCTAATATACCCAGTTTTTAAACTATTATCCTTAATGTATTCCTTTAGGTATGAAATCTTCTGGGAAATATATTTTAAAATGCAGTCTCCCATAGTGCATACTTTTTGTAAGCATATTTAAATAATTAAAAATTGTTGAGCTATAGTTAATGGATGCTGGCAAAGTCTACATCAGGGGTAGTCAACCTTGGCTCTTTTATGACTCGTGGACTTCAATTCCCAGAATTCCTGAGCCAGCTTAGCTGGCTCAGGAATTCTGGGAGTTGAAGTCCACGAGTCATAAAAGAGCCAAGGTTGACTACCCCTGGTCTACATGATTATTTGTTCCACATGGGCATCTGTATGTGCAGATAATTTGACTCCCCTCCTTCAGATTTAACCCAAGTGAAATGTATGCCTAAACTCTTATTCTTTTTTGTAGGACCTCTCACAATGTGTGACTTGTCAAGAGAAGCACATCACAGTGAAGAAGGAGCCCCACGAGTCCCTTGGCATGACAGTAGCAGGAGGTCGAGGCAGCAAAAGTGGGGAATTGCCAATATTTGTTACAAGTGTACAACCTCACGGCTGTCTTGCAAGCGACAGGAATTCTGGCTCAGGAATTCTGGGAGTTGAAGTCCACGAGTCATAAAAGAGCCAAGGTTGACTACCCCTGATTTAGAGTGTGCAGCCTACAGTTCAGCATCACTGATGTCTTATCTTCCATGATCCTGTCTAGTCCCCTTTAAAAAAAACTCAGTCTGGGGATCACTGCCCAAATTCAAAGCAGGCAAAAGGCCAAGAGAAGCAGCAGACATGCAACCAGCCCTGACACAATATCTATCAGTTTGGTGGGAGGAAATGCCCTGTGCAATGGTGGCATTCAGAATGACAATTGCTGTGGCCTTCTTTTCAGCCTGTAAAAATTGCCTTTGCCCTTATTGTGCTTAAGACAAATTCTCTGGGGAAGGAAAAAGAAGAAACAGTACAGAAAGGAATTTGTCGGGGGAGGCAAGACTGGGCTTGAATTCATCCTTCAAATAGGTTATCAACCTGAGGAATTGATAACTGTAAAGTTCCATAATTGATTTCCTAAAACTCCAATAAGATTTTCCATCCTGCATGGCCCCTCTTTCACATATACAATGCAAAACCTAGTTCTAATCTGCGAAGGCATGAACACACACAAAGGCAGCTCAAAACTCAGATTTTAATTTCATCTTAATCTCTTAGCATTTTTATGAAAAAGGAAGACATGAAATATGATTTGTACACTGGGGGTTGGAAGCAGAGAGCTTTAGAAATCAACAACTGTAATTCATACTGGACCACTAAAAATGACATTGCTATAATTTCCAATGTATTATATAGAGGTCTACAGGTAATGGAAGTATTTCATATCACTCACAAAAGAAGGAATAAACAATCATCCTGATTTCCTTATTTTTTTGTTGAAACATATTAAATATGAACTCCAGGGTATGAGAAAAATAAAATCCTGTTAAATCAAGAATAGAGCTACTGAAAAAGCTTATTTTCTTTGCTTGAGTTATGGCACATTCTGGCCATAAACTTCTACATTAACTTTTATGCCAAAGAGAAAATTCCAAAATTGTGCCAGGAAATCGTTAATCTTTCTTGCTTACTCATCATCTAATATATAGCTGCACAATCTAGACACACCAGAGTTGAGAAGAATATATAATCAGATATATACCTGCAGTATTTGATCTCCAGCAAGGAGCCTTCCATCTCTGGCAATGATCCCGTCACGATAAACCTCTTGAATAACAATGTTGATCAAAGGTGTTTCATTGCCACCCACTATGCTAATTCCTAATTCAATGTAAGGATTGGACCGATGAATTTCAATGGTGGTGATCTCACCTTCCGGTAAACTTGATGGCTGATGGATTGCTGCCCAATTGGGAAAGAAGTCAATATGTACAAAGAAATATATTTTTCAATGCAACATGCTGCTAGATTAAAATAATAAAATAAAATAAAATCTGTTATGTCATAAGTCAAACCAATTAAAACCAAGCTTGCATGACTTTTTAATCAAACTCAAATTGATAGTAAGTGGCTAATGTGGGGACACCTGAAAGGGGCTTCTAACAGGGCTGCTAAAGTCCAAAACAGACCTGCAATAGCTACATGGCTAGCCAGAGGCAATCCAGTAATTATCAGACTGCCATTCAGCAGCTTGTGTGGGAGAACAAGAATCTCCAATTTTTATTTATTAATTTGTGTATCAAATTTATATGGCTGCCCATCACACAAAGGCCTGGGAGGCATACAAACGATATAAAAGAGCAAACATATATAAAAAAAGGAGTCACAATTAAAAAGTTTTAAAAAGTCATTAGGCACAGAAAGACAAAATGTTAACAGCAATAATGGAGCCACTTCATTGGATTTTTGGAAAATAAGTTTTGTACGGTTTCATAAGGTTATGTGGGAGAATCATGATGGAGTTTTAGGAAATGGTTTCACAAAATGATGCATGTGAAAGCCAAATGAAAATTCATATTATTTGGTTTAGACAAATTTAAAATTGAAATAGCCACCCACTAAAATGATATCAGAGCCGTTCATATGAATGTATAAACAACACAATAGGTTAAAACTGATGTTGTGCATATGCAGCATGTCACTGGTGTAAATGCCTTTTGTTTTATAAAATATTGGTATAAATGCCAACATAGGCATGGAGCTCTCCAGATCCTGATTCTGAGCAAATTGTACCTCCCAAGTTTTGCAGATTAAAAATTAATGCTCGGCTGTTGTCACAATCATTCAACTGACTATAACAAGAAAGCTGAGGCTAAATAGGACTTTTAAAAAAAGCCCTCCTGGTTATTGTTAACAGAAGCATTCGTTCTATGTAGCTCTAATTAATTCTCAAGGTTTCTATAAACAAAGTTTATAGAATACTGTTTTGGTTGTTTTAATGTTCTACCTTGCTGTTTATATTGATTGTAAGCTGCCTAGAGTCGCCTCTAGGTGAGATGGGTAGCATGTAAGTTACTTACATGTACATATACATACATACACTAGGAAAACAGGTTATTTGCTTGCAGGCCAGGATAAAATCTGATTTTAAGATTTCTTAAAGTTTACATTTTAAAGTGCACAGATCAAACCGAATACTAAAAAGAAAACTAAACTCACTCTCAGTTCCTATGTTCTCCTCAAAAGCAGGGTTATCAAGCCCAGACTCATCTGTCCACACCGAAACTGTCGCTGATGTCATGTTCTGCTCCATTGACGCCATTCCAGTCCCAGCATGCTCTGCTTCAGGTGACTGGGAGTCCAGATGATCTATCATGGCGTTTTCATTTTCACTTTCGGTGGCTGCCTGCAATTTGCTGTTTATCCTTCTTTCCAAGGCAGCCCTTCGATTTGAAGCCCCAGCACACCTAGGGAAGAAATGCTTCTATATTATCATAAAAACAGGGAACAGAGGCTTGAAAAAAAAATAACTATCTTTAGTTATATAAAGTAATGTAATATACACACCCCCATAGGATGCCGCTTGATCACCTCTGACTATTGATTGTGCTGAGTGGAAATGATGGGAGCTATAATTTTTAAAAATCTGGATATAACAGGAAGGCTTGTTGCTACAATATTGATATTGTACAGAGAACTAGCCAATGCCACGAAGGTCCTTTGGATTCAGATCTTCCAAATTTCTTCACATATACATTTTTTATAGAAGTTCCAGACTTTGGAACTTCAGTTGAGCGCTTGGTGCTCTCTGAGCTTTGTTGTTTGTTTACAGGGGTTTCATTACCCAACTTGATAGTATCATCAGTGTGAGTGAGTGTAAGCTTTGTTCCCTGTTACTGTTAAACACAGAAAACAATGCCCTAATCAAGGAACTATCAAGGAGAAAACCACATCCAAAACTGGCAGGGCAAGCTACTGCATATTAACAGGGTGCAAATCTCACACTCAATCACACTGATGATGATGATGATGATGATGATGATGATNCTGAAATTGAAGCCTAGAAATAGCAGACATTACAGTTCTGTCAGGCATGACTCAAGCTACCACATGTCCCCTGCATCTGTACATACATGACATCCTGTTGTTAGATAACCACAGAAAATAACAACTTAGTGGGATGCATTTGCAATGGAATATCACCTCAACAGGATCTCTTGTTTGTTTTTATCCAGGTGATGTGTTGATGAATATTAATGGCATTGATCTGACCAATCTGAGTCACAGTGAGGCTGTGGCTATGCTCAAAGCCAGCGCTGCTTCCTCGGTCGTTGCTCTGAAGGCGCTAGAGGTCCAGATTGCAGAAGAACAGCCCCAGGCAAATGATGAGCAGCCGAGCACCATCAGTGAGAATGAATATGATGCTAGCTGGTCGCCATCTTGGGTCATGTGGTTAGGACTTCCAAGGTATGAGTAATTTCATCTTCTTCCTCTCTACAGCTTCTGCATTTTTTTTCTGAGCAGGATTGAAGAATCAAGATGTCTTCTACGCTCAGCCTTAGAAGCTCTTTGTAAGTCCTGTGCATGCCATTCTCTTACAGTATAGTGCAGTGATGGCAAACCTTTTAGAGACCGAGTGCCCAAACTGCAACCCAAAGCCCACTTATGCATCATCAGGTGCCGGGTGGGTGTGGCCCATTGGCTGAGTATGGCCCATTGGGTGGGTGTGGCTGCGGTGGTAACGGCAGACTGGGTGGGACTAAAAAGTTCAATCAATTAATTCCAACTTTGCAAGATCTTTTTTTTCCCTCGAGAAGTTGAAATTGACTGATTGAACCTTTTTTTTTTTTTTTTGCACACCGTGGCGGAGGCCTAAAGTGAAAAGGTTTTATAAAACCCAGCTGAAGGCCTTGGACTGGGGCGACGGCGCGCATGCCCACAGAGAGGGCTCTGAGTGCCGCCTCTGGCACCCGTACCATAGGTTCACCACCACTGGTATAGTGTGTTAAAAATAGAAGACATTATTGTAATTTTTAATAATGTTTCTATAAATGTAAGTGATTTGTAGAGCGGTACTCTTTTTAGCATTTCTCTCACAATATCAGGATTAACCCATAGTTTCTTTGTGAAAACCAAAACCAACAAAACAAAGACGCAGGCCCTGTTTGGTAAAAAGGAGTCCATTTTAAAAGGACCTATAAAAGTGATTTGTCATATATTTATTATTTGCTATTTTATGTTTTAAATGTATCTGCCCCCTTCAAGACCTCAGGTTATTCTTCCCAAGGTTTTCCAAAAATTAATTACTCTCTAAGCATCAGCATTCTTGATCTCACAAATTCAATAAATAATAAATAATAATAACATTGACCCAGGTTGGGTATGAGGTCAGTTGACTTAATATTTTGCCTGGATATTTAAAAGGTGTGCCACACACTTCAGGGAAAGAAGAGTTTTTGTTTAGAAATGTATTTTACTGAATAATTACTGTATTAATTATTAAAAAATCATTAATTCATTTGTATACAGGCAAGCCTGAAAGAGTTATTATAGATTTGTTAGAGGTCTAATGGATTTGTTTAATAAATTTTACAACTCCTTGCCTTTTTTTCCACAGCTGCCTACATAGTTACCATGATGTTGTATTAAGAAGGAGCAATCTAGCCAGCTGGGGATTTAGCATTGTTGGTGGCTACGAGGAAAATCACACAAACCAGCCTTTCTTCATTAAAACAATTGTTCTAGGAACACCAGCATATTTTGATGGAAGACTCAAGTAAGGCTCCTTTTTTGTTTTTTATCAATTTTATCAAGATAAGGAAGTCATCAGAGCTTACAGTTGATACTGCAGATTCATTCTCAAGTCCACTGTTTCTTAATCTTGGTAGCTTTAAGATGTATGGACTTCAACTTCCCAAATCCTGGGAGTTGAAGTTCACACATCTTAAAGTTGCCACGGTTGAGAAACACTGCTCAAGACAACATGAAATGTGTGTACTTTGTGTATGAGAAGTAGTTCTTTGTAAAATACAGATCCTGCACTGAGCAGGGAGTTTGATTTACAGTGTTCTCAAAATAGTCTTCTATTTACAACTGGCATTAATGGCCATTCAAAGCTACTTATGACTGCTGTCCCCTCTTGCAGTCACATAATCACAATTGGGCTGGTTGGCAACTTGCTTGCATTTACAACCAGTTGCAGTGTTCCATGGCCAAGTGACCATGAGTTGGGACTATTTTGCTGTTTTTCAGCAGAAAGGGAAGGTTGGAAACAGGACAGAAGTTGTCTACCTGGTTGAGTTCCACAATGGCTTTTTTTTTTTTAGAAGGGAATGAACCAGTTCCTCCTTCAAAACTGGCAGGAACACTCCTTCATTCCCATTGCCAGATCCTAACTGCATGTCACCTTCTGGGAGGAACAGGGATCCTAGCTTAAAGTTCTAAGAACCCATGAATAGGATCAAATTCCTCCCAGATAACCAAACCAGACTGAGCCTCATTTACCTTCATGGCACCTGCTTAAGGCTAGAGTTCAACTTTTAGCAAATACTTGGTAAATTCTTCACAGCAATCTTGCTGGTGAACATCTGACTCCAACTTCCCCAGGAGGATCTGGATCATTTTTCCAATTTGATGTCCTTCGAATGTCTGCCACAAACCAACAAATCCATTGCCCACCCAATCACATTCCTCTTTTCCCCCCACAATTTGTAATGCTAAGCTGAATGTTTTCACTTTTCTGACTTTCCGGATATTTTCTACAGTTATGCTCTTTAGTGAAGCTACCATAAATTGTTCCATTAACTGAAGTGTTCTCAATTAATCAGGCAATAGAAATTAAAATTCAAAATTATTTGAATTTAATTGTTACTTTTTCAATCTGAATTACCAGCATAACCTTCAAAGAGACATACCCCTTTGTGGTAAGGACGGAGATTGCACTTGCTGTAGGATGTGTATTTAATGTAAAACAAAATGCTTCCTTCTTTGGAACGATTCTTTTTTACAAGTATATATCAGTCAGTTAACATAACCATTGCAGCTAAAATGGTGTCACGTCTAGTTTTGCATTATACCTAAACAGAGGCATCTAAGAATTGGTCGTTCAAACTCAGAGAAGTCATTTCCTGCAGTATGTGGGTTGTGCAACTTACTAAGCCTCATTTGTTTCTCTCCGTAGATGTGGTGATATGATTGTTGCTGTCAATGGACTTTCAACCATGGGTATGAGCCATTCAGCGCTGGTTCCTATGTTGAAGGAACAAAGAAATAAAGTAACATTGACTGTTATCTGCTGGCCAGGAAGTCTTGTATAATATGCAAAGAACATATACATTGGTTGAAGCAGCTTTTTTTTTTTTTAATAGCTGGCTCGACTTTTTCAGGCAAAGCTGTTTTTTCCCCCCTCTTTTCTACTAATGCAGCTGGTAATAAGCTGGGCCAAAAATTGCTACCTTCATATCTGACAAATACGTGTGAACAGGGTGTGTGTGGGAAAGGAAGATTTTTAACTGTACTGTGTTGTTCTTCCCATCCTAAAGTAGCCGTTTCTATCAAGTTTTATTTATTATTATTTTATTTCCCATCATTATGTCATTGCAGGATCCAGGTGCATACACTTCAGTTTCTTGGTTGGCTTGAGGAGGTCAGCCTATTCCAGTAATTGTAGTGGGGGCAGGATTGTACCTAGCTTGGGTGCCAACATGCTGGCATGTTAGCTATCTGCTAGGTTGATCTCTGCATTGTTAAATACTGATGTATAACCTAAAGACAGTAGGTTAACAACAATTGACATGTAAGGCCTCCTACACAAGAGATGGTTATTCTGTAAGGTGCTTTCTATTTAAGTTTTCAGCTTTGTTCATGGAAGGCACATCTGGAACCATCTGTTTCAATTGTTAAAATGTGTTGCTGCATTAACATTTAGTAGATTAACTTCTACATATTTTTACTACATTTCAGTATGATTCTGTTTATATGAGAGCCTGAGCAATTCTTTGTGCTATGGCTGCCACATAGAAGCTGCAGGAAGTAGCTCCATGTAGCACATGCTCCATGTAATAGTCTTAACCCATAAGAAGGCCCACTGCCCCAAGGATACATCAAATGCATTGGAGAGCAGGGAGTGGTGGAAAGAAAGAAAATGGTTATTGGCCATTGTCCAACAAAAGTATTTATGGCATCATAATTATAGTGTACCAATTTGTCCCTGGCTACATGTAATCAGCAAGCTCATGTTTCATGTGAAGCATGGCAGTAGCTTGTAAGAATCCCCTCCACGTGATTCCCTTGTAGCATAAATAGTTGCCCGAAGGCTGAAACTGCATCAGTATTATTATCTAAGGCATGCACTGATACATGACCAACCTATGAAAGCAGCATCAGATGCAGAGCAGTGCACATTCTATGTGCATATTATGTGCTTTTTTACAAGCAGGTATCTTTTGTGATAATTCCAAATCCTGTAATCTAAATAAATTATGAGAACTTGCCATTATGTCTGCATTTTCTGTTTTGCATAATTTATTCCTCCATTAAGTCTTCATTGTGTATTTTGCATCATCATTGGACAAGGCATAGGTACAATAGAACTTTTTGCCACAAGAAGCTTGGCTCACCCATTCCTTGACTTTCAAGATTCATAAAATAATAGGGCAGGAAGGGAACTTGGAGGTCCTCTAGGCTATCTAAAATGAATAACCAAGCATTGTTTGAGACCCTCTAGAGATGGAGCACTCATAACTCCAAGAATCAGGCTGTTCCACTGCTTAATAGCTGTCACAATCAGGATATTCTTCCTAATTTTAAATTTGGATCTCTCTTTGTGAAGCTTCCACCTGTTAGTTCTTGTCTCAGGCACTATGAGGAATAAATGTACATCTTCTTCCTTGTGTTAGCTCTTCTGGCATTATAAATTTTTGTGTCTCCCCTTAGCCTTATCTTGTTTAGAATAAACATCCCCTGCCCTTTTAATTGTTCTTGATAGGATTTAACTGCCAAACCCCTCTTCATCTCTTGTTCTTCTCTGCCTTCTTTCCAATTCCTGTACTGTGGCTGCCAATACCAGATGCATTATTCATATGTAATCTGATCAGGCCAGCACATAGTGGAACTGTCATTTCCCACAATCTCAAGATTATACCTTTGTTGGCACAGCCTAAGGTTGCAATGGCTCTTTGGGCAGTTGCAGCGCATTGCTGGCTCTTACTTAATCTGTGGTCTACCAGGACACTTAAACATCCTTCTCACCAATACTACTTTCAAAACAAATACCACCTGCATTGTACTTGTGCATCTGGTTTTTTTCCTTCCTTAACTGCAAAACCTTACATTTCTGGCCATTGAACTGTATTTCATTGAAAGGACTCAATATACAAATCTATCATGATCCTTTGAACCTTGAGCTGGTCTTCTAATGCATTACCAATCTCTCCTCTTAGCTTTTTGTCATCTGCAAATCTGCTTAGCATCCTTTCTATAGCTTTCTCAATCATTTATAATCATGCTGAAGAACATTGGGTCTAGATTAGAATTCTGAAGTACCAGCTCCCCTTGATCTGCTAAGGAAGATTCATTGGGTACTATTCAACCAACAGTGAATCCATCTGATACTGGAATCATCCATTCCAGAATGGTTCTAGTTTATATAAAAGGAAGCCATGGTCAACTTTATCAGACCGGGGAGCATTGAACTAAATATATTTCTTCAACTAAAAGATCTAGATTTTTTTTAAAGTAAAAGATTATAGTGATAAGTGAAAGTGAAGGACAGAGTGTTCAATGACTCTTCATGAAATATATACAATTTTTAGAGTAGATACAATATAAATTCTTTCAAAAAAGTGATGCTTTATGAAAATCTGCCACATCTATATATAAAACTTTGATTGCCTATTACAGTTCTTGGGAAATGGTCATCTACGTCCTGCCAGTTTTCTCTTTCACTAAAGAGATTTAATAGCAGAAATCTAGCTAATTAAGGTGCAAGTTTTTTGAAGACTTCATCGTCCATTTCAAAAAAGCAAAAAGATGTGTGCATCTCAAAATTGTTAATCCCTACAAAATTTATTTGAACTTCTTTTCATCCCGACTGTGTTCACTGAGTAGGACCAAAGCCTACCTTTAAAAAAAAAATGAACTGCAATAATTGGATTATTTTTTAGAATATTTCGTGTGTAAAGGGGGTTGTACCCTTCAATAAAATGTAATGTGGGTATGATAACAGTGCTGGCAACAGTAACAAAAATTAATTGGAGGTGACATTAGTTTGATCTGCAATATTAACATGCATTGATAATTGCTGTCCAAAGTGAATGTTTTGCTATGTAAAAAAAATGTTTTTTCTAAAAACCATTTTTACACTTTATACTGCAGCTAATTGTAGCTTTCTTGTGTGTCTTATATGCAAAAGCTGAGAAATAATTTAGAAAAGGGAAAAACTATTACTAGGAGTGCTATGTTGTAATTTCAGGAAGTCTAATGGGGAGAAGGAACCCCACACCCATAACTGGGAGCAAGAATGGTATTTTCCCCTCGTTATTTTGTCTCCTGATAAAAGCCCAGATGCCTTTACCTAAAATGCTGAAACAACCTATGTTGTTTATGGAGTAGTTTCCTTAATTATTTACCTTCTTTGAGCTGAGAACAGCTAGTTTATTTTATACACAGATTCACACTTACATTCTCTTAAGACAAATCTTTACCTTAGGTAGATCTCAGTTGGAGAGCATGGACATCCTTTTGTAAAGCCCTCAGTGTTGGCTTTCAAATGAATCCAGATTTCCTCTGCAAAAGTCACTTGGCCTACTTAAAAACTGTCTAATTTATAATGGTTAAGTACGTTTAGAATGATCTGTGTATTATAATGCTAGTATTATTTAACTGAGAATGTATTTTACCCTCACATCTATCTAATATGGGCATGCATTTTTCCTGCCTCTCTTCAGTCCCATGTTTGGAATAATATGGCATGTCTTTTTGAGTTCTTTGCTCTAAAGAAAGCGGTAAGACTTTGTTGTTGTTGTTTTTTTTAAAAAAAACACCAACACAACAAATATAATTTTGTTTCTCTCCTGTGCAATGCAAGATCTTTTGCTTTCATACTGTAGATCAGAGGTCTTCAAACTTGACCCTTTTATGACTTGTGGAGCTGGCTGAGGAATTCTGGGAGTTGAAGTCCACAAGTCATAAAAGGGCCAAGTTTGAAGACCCCTGATCTAGATCCAAACAGTATTACCCAGACAGAACTGCAGTGAAAGTCCCCATTTGTACACAAACCAAAGTCCAAAGAACTTCCTGGGGTTGCATAAGGAATGTTGTATCTCCATGATTTTTTTCTAACTGTCTCTGATGCTATTTTGCATGTTGCTTTTGGAATTCTCTGTTTCAAAAGCAGTTGATGTGATGCATAAGAGGAGGTACTACTATTGCAAAACCTTTCACGTTCTAGTAGGTTACTGCTACTATGTATGTAGGCTTCCGTATGTGCTGTAATAAAATGGCCCGCCTTTGTGAAGAATCCCACTGTGAAATTCCTTGAAGATGGGATACACTTCAGGACCCAGCAATCACAACAGTCAGGATTGTGGGGAGAGAAATATGGCTGTGGCTAAGAGGATATCGCTGTAAAATAAAGAGCTGGCATGATGAGGTCAGTGTTGTGCCACCATTATGGGTACATTCAAGATGCAAAGATTGAGGGTTAAGCCTTAACATTTGTTCAATAATAAGCAAGAGCAAGTTAACTATTTTCCCTTCCTTTAGTGCAGCAGTTCTCAACCTATGGATCATGACCCCATTTGGGGTCGATCGACCATTTCACGGGGGTCGCCAAGCAAGGCTGTCCGCCATTTTTTCCCCCTTTTCCGGCGGGAGCCTTACCTCCCTTGAGCTGGGCCAGCTGGTGGTCGGCCTGCTCCGTCTCTGCCGCTTGCCAGCTACGCCTCGGCCGGCGCAGGGGGCGGAACCATGCATGCGCGGCGCTCCCAGGCAGGGAAAGTCCTCGACTTACGACCGGTTGGGTAGTCCTCGACTTATGACCGGTTTAGTCCTCGACTTACGACCGGTTTAGTCCTCGACTTACGACCGGTTGGGTAGTCCTCGACTTACGACCGGTTTAGTCCTCGACTTACGACCGGTTTAGTCCTCGACTTACGACTGGTTGGGGGGTTGCGGCATTAAAAAGGTTGAGAACCACTGCTTTAGTGAATGATGGGATATAACTTTTCAGTTTTAACTTTGTAAACAAAGCATTGCATTATATTGCAAGTTAGCCTAAAGGCTAATGAGGAAGATAGTTGTCCTGTATTCACCATATGCCATTTGAAATTAGGCCATTGCACTGAATGCTAAGGTAA